ATCTTTTCCATTGTCATTGATGCAACCCCTCACCATTGTGGATCCTGTAATTTGAACTTGGTGTTCACAAAATTATAAATTGTAGGTTTTATATTTGGCCTGGATCACATTTTGTATTTTTTTTCTACAAAATATCTAGTATAAATGTGACCACAAAATGTTTGCTCTGTGAGATGCCTCATTGCAGACACAACCAAAGAATGTCATTACTATAGACAAGCAATCACAAGTCAGGATTCCAAATTTGTGTGACAATCTCACACAAATCTCTGTCTTTGACGAAATATTTTTATGTATTTCTTGAAAAACTGGAGATCCTTTGGATATATGCTGTTACATTTATGGGTGCTTTTTACCTTACATATTTAAAATCACCTTAGCATCACTAGCTTGAAGATTTTTTCTGTATTTTAGAGCAAGTCCTAAACTGCACCTGTCCCACTGTATTTAATGTTTTGCGGATTATTATCTATAAAATAAGACGAGGGGGAAAAAAAACAACAGAAAAATATCTGGTTCATACAGTTTACACTACAATAAAAATCAAAATAAAATGTTATAGTATTGTTGTTTTGGTTTTAAATGCACATCATATGCAAGTGATTTCAATACATAGAAATTTAGGCTCCTTTTTAATTTTTTTTCCCCACATGCAACAAATATAGATAATACATAACGACTGAAAGGCTGATATATTTATTTAGTCCTATGCCCCACCCCCCCACCCCGCTTTTGTTCCTTAGAGTATTTTGTTGCCGTTTCTTGTTGTATTTTTTTCAGCTTCTCATAAAATTCAGCATTTCTGGATATTTGGAGACCTTTATGTCAACAACTCAAAGTACGTCTCTAAAGTTCATCTTCAGTCTCAAAGGTTTGATTGTGTCACAAGAAGCAATACAAAGAAGAGAAATGAACCACGGTGCACAGAGAGGCAGATTTAGGTGATGTGCTAAAAAGAAATCACAACACACATACATATAGTATAGGTGAATATATATACATCCATTATCTTTACCCACTTCTTCCTTTTTGGGTCACGGGGGTCACTGGTGTCCATCTATCACTGTGCAAGAGGCGGGGAACACACTGAACAGGTCTCCAGTTCATCATGGAGACACATAGAGACAAACGAGACAAACAATCATTCACCCTCTCACTCTCACCTAGGGACAATTTAGAGTTAGCGATCAGCCTGTTGCATGTTTTTGGTCTGTGGGAGGAAACCTGAGTACCCAGAGAAAATCCACGTATGCACAGAGAGAACATGCAAACTCCACCCAGAAAGGCCCCTGGCTGGGAGTTGAACCAGGGTGGCCTGCTCACTGAGAGGTGGCAGCTCTACCAACTGTGCCACCGTGCTGCCCCATACATATAAAGTCTTTTTAATAGACAACAAAAGCAATGTGAAAATTTTACATTTCAGTGTTTGAACTCACTTTTGGCTGTATCCACTAATGGCCTTTTTTCTTTCAAACCTGAAAAGCAGTGCAAGCAGTGATGTAACAATGGATGTTTGGAAAGAGGAAATGTGTGACTCATGACTTCTGCCTTAATGAAATGGTGTCAAAGTGGGTTCAGGCATCAAGGAACAACCACTTCTTTTTCAGTCAAAGAAGAAATTGTTAAACGTCAAAGAATTCCAGATCTCAAGAGGGGAAAAAGCTGAAAGTGCTTCAGTTTTTCTCATTTATGGGGCTAAAAAGTCACACATATGAAAAATCATCTAAAAAAGAAATGCTTCAACTCTTTTCATTAATATTTTACTATATGTGCCAGAAATTCTTCCAATAAGTGAGTCCATCAATAGTATGTCTGTCTGAACACTGAAGGCACACACTCCCTTTCTCTCCCCCTTTCTGGCTCTGGCTCCCTCCTCTCGGCCACACACAAGGCCATCCATTCAAAGACCCTCCTCATCCAGCCACGTAGGTCCCCCGAGGTGCCTCTGTATACACCAAGCTGCCTGGGATTGATGTGTGAGATTGAAGGAACCAGTGAAACTCGCTGCATCCTCGATGCTGACGAGGCTCTACAGGGCTTCCTTTGACTTCCGCCCCCTGCTTTGTTCTGGGGTTCGTAATGAAAGCCTGTCTGAGGAAAAATTATGATGAATAGAATTGTTAGTTCTGGTTAAGGATGTATTTGTGGTCAAAAGAAATAATTAAAAAAAAGGAGAAACAATTTGCAGACTGGAGTGCCTTATAGCGGAAATGTTGGAAAATGATTATTACGGATCAGCTTTTAGAATTTTAGAAAATATAAAAATAATAACACTGACCACAGCACAGATGAGGACACTGAAATTATTTTGTTTGTTTTAAATCTGTTCAAACTAAATCTAACACTGGAAGCACAAAATAGGAGGCATCTGTCCTGGAAATGCCAAGAAAAAAATGTCACTGCTGGCTGTTTCCTTTGTTGTTGTGTTAAATCAATCAGCACTGCATGGTTAAAACCAACAGAACATAAACCTGTGGTCGTTACAGTTTACGATGAGTTTCATTTTTTACAAGATGGCACAATTACCCGAGGTCTCAGATGGTACAGAATTACAGATTAAATTATTCAACATTTTTATTGATGAAGGACAAATAGTCTAATTAACCAATAAAAAGCAGATAAGCAGAAGGATAATATGCAATCTATGGCAGTTGCACAGTATACTTATTTATGACGAGCATGTGAGAGATATATATAATAAAAAAATGCAGTTAAAAAAAGGATGCATGTACAAATGTATGCATATACAAATCAGTATTTATCCAAGTGGAAATTCAGTATGGTTTTGATCCAGTCTAGTTACATATAGCACAAGTGACAGTAAAATGAATAAACCCACCTAACTTCTAACAGCAAAAACAGCTGCAGTCAAAAGAGTGGAGCCTGTTAAACCAAAGTTTAGGGTCTGCACATGAAGAAACATATTGAGTTAATTTTCTTTGTCTGAGAAACAAACAAAAAAGTCAAGAGTTACATGTGTACTGATTAGAGCTCATATGATATAACATTTCTTCTGAGATGTGTCAGATGAGTTTTCTTCTAAAGCAGAGCTAAAAAATATAAATTAAACAAGTATGGGTTAGTCCACCGTGTTCCAAGAAATACTTGAGGAAATACTTTAGATAAAACTTTTTTGTCTCAATAATTTAAAATTCCAGGACTTGAAACCCAATAATGGTCAGTCAGGTCATCTGGACCGTTTATTTTTTGTGGAAAGATGTTACACCCTCTATCTGGAGGGCTTCATCAGTCTGAGGAGTCCCAAATAAACTGTTTTCCCCACTAAGCAGTACACGCCTTTCGTGGATGAACCAAGTTGCAGAAACATTTATCCATCTACACGTCCATATGTCTGCAAGGTACTCAGCTTCCATGAGATGCTGTGGTGACAAAGTGAGTCTGTACCTGATGGGAGAGGATTCCTTGCATGATCTAACACAGTCTCACATACCTCTTGAGAATCCTGCTGCTTTTCAAGATAAACACCATCAAAGCCAAGAGAAAATGAATCCAGAGTATCTCTGCTCTCGGGGATGGAGAAATTGAAATTCACAAGCTTGTGGAGGATTATGGATGCAAATAACTTTTCGACATTATTCACAGTCATTGCACTTTTGTGCAGCTGAACTAATTTGAGCATAAACTTTTATTTTATATATTTACATTAGAGTTCAACCCAGGATATATATTTAAGTGCAGTTATCTGACATCTTCATCCCTGCACATATCTCAAACCTTGTTTTTTTTTCATATCATTCGGACTTGGCTTTACAATGCAACACCATGATGTTGGCTCTACTTGAACCGACAGGTGAGTTTGTCTCAGATGCTGAGAGGAGGAGGACGAGGAAGAGCGGAAAGGAGGAGCAGGAGGAGGAATAACGCAGCTGGCTCGGACGCACGGTGCACCTTGTGGAGGAGAAAAGCGAAGCGCGCCGCTCCTCTCCATCATTTTTCACTTTCGACGCACTGACGGGAAACCAAAGAAGCCAGGATGTAGACCCCACCAGGTAACCTGCACGTGCATCACACCGTTTCCTCAGAGCTTTTGTTTGAAACCCAGAGTGCAGGTGGTTGCGCCGCTTCCGTCGCGTTTCGTCGGAGTTTTTCTGATCGATCCATCCAGGAGGAGAGGTTCTGTTCCCTGCTCAGCTCGCTGTTTGGATCCGAGCTTTTATCCTCCTGTTAGGACCAACAGACTCATTAAAAGTCTTGTCTTTGGCTTTTGAGTAACACTTCCCGTTTCCTTTTCTGTTTTTTTTTTTGTTTTACTAATATTCATGTTCGCGATCTTTCAATTTCCCTGTATCTTTATGTCAGGTGAGCATGTGCGTAAATGTGAAAGTTATTATTTTTCAGCTCAGGTCATGAGGAAATGTATTTGCAGCGTGTTGCATCCACGTCAAAGACACACGCGTTTTTACGCACTGGAGCTTTTAAAACTGGTAAATTGATCAAACCATGAAATGTATCAAGATATTTTAAAACAAATATATATGTATATATATATATATATATATATATAACGTGATGATCTTAACAGCGCCGATACATGTTGAGCAGGTTCCCTTATTCTTATTCAACAGGTTTGGTCCAGTTCTTTGCAGCTAAACTTTAATGATACAGATCACATTTAAACAATACATTTTTCGGTTCATTTACCTTATGATGTCTGAGTTTCAGCTGCCTTTGTCCGTGTTTTCTTGAAATCTGTTTTCCTTTTGGTTTTGACTTGTTGAATTTGAATGACAGATGCCAAAGTATAACTTTAATAAGTGACAATGTGATTTGGAGTTCAAAGTATAAGACGAGTCATCATTTTACAGCAGCAAGTCACCCAGTGCAGGGTTGGTGACCTAAATGGACAAAGATGCAACTATTTATGATTTTTTTTTTCTCCCCACACTTTGCTTATTTTTAAATTATTCTCAGATGCCAGATCATTCTGAGGACAGCCAAGTCTGAAGGCGGAGAAGACAACTTCTAGTACTCTGTTCATAATGGCAACAGGAGTAGCAGCATGGCTTCCATTTGCCAGGGCTGCAGCCATTGGCTGGATGCCCGTGGCCAACTGCCCCATGCCCATTGCACCCAGAGACAACAGCAAGAAACAAGATGAGCTGATCCTCCTTAATGTCAGCGGCCGCCGCTTTCAGACATGGAGAACAACTCTGGATCGCTACCCAGACACGCTGCTGGGCAGTTCTGAGAAAGACTTCTTCTATAATGAGGAAACCAAGGAGTACTTTTTTGACCGAGACCCAGACGCCTTCAGAAGTATCCTCAACTTCTACCGAACAGGGAAGCTCCACTACCCTCGTCATGAGTGCATCTCAGCCTACGATGAGGAGCTGACGTTCTTCGGCATCATGCCCGAGATCATTGGTGACTGCTGCTACGAAGAGTACAAGGATAGAAAGAGGGAAAACTTGGAGCGGCTGCAGGATGACCAGGAGGAGAACAAGGACTTGAAGCAGTCCAACTTGAACTTCAGAGAGACCATGTGGCGCGCCTTCGAGAACCCCCACACATCCACCCTGGCCCTGGTCTTCTACTATGTTACTGGTTTCTTCATTGCCATCTCTGTCATCACTAATGTTGTAGAGACGGTTCCCTGTGGCTCCACTGCCAACCAAAAAGACCAGCCTTGTGGCGAACGCTACACAGTGGCGTTCTTCTGCATTGACACTGCCTGCGTCATGATATTCACAGTGGAATACCTTATGCGTTTGTTTGCTGCACCCAGTCGTTACCGTTTCATGCGTTCCGTGATGAGCATCATCGACGTGGTGGCCATCTTGCCGTACTACATCGGCTTGGTGATGACCAACAACGAGGACGTGAGTGGCGCCTTCGTGACGCTGCGCGTCTTCCGAGTGTTTCGCATCTTCAAGTTCTCCCGCCACTCGCAGGGCCTTCGGATCCTCGGTTATACGCTCAAGAGCTGTGCTTCAGAGCTGGGCTTCCTCCTTTTCTCCCTCACGATGGCCATCATCATCTTTGCCACGGTCATGTTCTACGCAGAGAAGGGTTCCAGTTCTAGCAAGTTCACCAGCATCCCAGCTTCCTTCTGGTACACGATTGTCACCATGACCACACTGGGGTGAGTAATAAACATAAAGTGTTCTTATTTAAACCACATTTATGGTGGTTTTAGATCAAGATAACCATTTATGAGTGCAATAAATTCTCAAAATTGATTTGTTGGGGGTTTGGCAACAAACTGAATAATTTATGAAACCCACTTTGACTTTCAAATGAGCCTTGGGACAGTCTCGAACACTTTGGTGTGCTACAGCTTAGAGACTGACAGTGCAAGTCATCATGGGCAGTGTAGCATTTATCTGTCAGCACAAACACTTGTGGCATTTTGTTTGTTTCATTTATGGCGAGACAGTGCTTAAACACCCTCTGCTGTATGATGCTGGCACTAAGAATTCAACTGATCTAAAGCTATATTTAATGGGGTTTTTTTTCTCTCATAGCTTAAGATCAAAAGCAAACATGAAAACTCAATAATAGGGAAATTTACTTTGATACTAAAAATGCAAAGTAAACAAGTTTAAATTGTCCTGTAGTAGAAAATGATTTACTGGTCCTGGTATTCACGGTAAAACTGCCTTGTGAGAAAATAATTTAAGTGCATCCGGAAAAGAGAGCTCTCCTCTGTATGTCTGGAGGTGAGGTGTCCCATGAGAAATGCTCTGTCACCTTTATAATGATGCCTCTCTGCTCTTAATCTTTCCCTCAAACTCGCTCCAAATCAGTGCCATGAATAGAAAGGTGAAGTTGAAGGTGTTCCTGAAGTTCGGCTGAGTGGCGTCTAATGATGCAAGAACAGAAGAAGAATCATGATTTACTAAAAAAAAAAAAAATCATTCATTCTCCTGAGCTCTCTTTGCAGACAATGTTGTGCATGTGAATGGAAGGAAAAAATGCCATGACACTTTGACTGATGATTTCAATGCCTTTGGTGGGATGGGAGGACACATCTGGATATCTTGAAGTAAATTAAAAGGAATATTTTTAAAGAAACAGTTTACACATTAGACTTATTGTCAAAATATGTGTAAAAAGATTTTCACAGCTAACTGGCCTTAGTCTTTTTAGAATAAATAAAATTAAAAAGTTGAAAAATACATTTCTCATTTGTTATAATTTTTTTTTAAGTGTCTTCCTGTTGTTGTTCGCCGCTACAGAAAACAGCGGAGCATTATCGTTTTTGCCCACGTCTGTGTGTGCGCAATTCTTTTGTCCGTTTGTTAGCAAAATATCTCATTAGCCACTGAACAGATTTTATGGAAACTTTCACAAAACAATCAATGGTATAAATCTAATTCTATAAATCTATTTAAAATGACCTTTAAAAGACAAAAATCACTCATACTCATCTAATCTCAGATTCTGAACTATAATCCAGTCTGTTAGCAGCTGTGCATCATCAACAACCCATACTCCGACATTGTGTGATATTTTTTGATGGTAATGGTTGGTGTCAGTCTGCTTATTAGTAATATTTTCAATGATCCATACATAACTGACATTAGACAATACAAAAATGACTATAACTCAGCAAGTCTTACATATATTGAGTTAATTTTGGTGTGGTAGTAGCTGAGAGTCATTATCAACAAATCTTCTGAGTCCAATAAGCATATTGCAAAATTTCACAATATTACATGAAATTTTATAAAACTTTTTTTTTTTTTTTTACAATCTTTGACCAAAATGGCTACAACTTTGCCCTTTCTCATCAAAATATTATTTTTTGTACTTTGACATGAAAGGTCTTTAATCTTTACCAACAGGGCAAATTTAGTTAAAATGTAAAAGAGAAAATTGCAACAAATTAAAAATGGCCATTTTAATTGCGCTTAAAGAAGTGATTCTGTTTGATAAAAGAGATTTCATTGAGGGTTTGTGGCAGTCAAAAAACTTTCATAAGATTTTAGTAAATAATTTTTGAAAGTGATGGGCCTTTTTAAAGACTTAATTGAAATTCAAGGATTCAAGGATTCAAGGTTCTTTATTTGTCATTCGCATCCAATGTGGTACATGTGGTTGAATGAAATTATGTACACAGGGTCCCAGTTACATCCAACAATAAACTGTAAAAGAAATACAATAATAAGATCTAAGATATGAACTAAGAAAAACATCAACTAAATATACACTAAACACTAGTAGCATAAAAAAATACGCCAAACAGCAGCATGAACATGAGTCTGTGTGTGCGGATAAGCACGCATGAACACATCAACATGAAACTTATCAGCAGCAACTTTGAAAAAGATCAGCAGCAACATTGAAACAGATCAGCAGCAACATGAAACAGATCAGCAGCAACATGATGTGATTTTTCACAGTGATTATTCTGGTTAGAGATTCATGAGTCTAACAGCCTCAGGCTAGAAGCTGTTCCTCAGTCTAGTGGTTCTGCACTTAATGCTCCTCAACCTCCTTCCTGAGGGGAGCGGGGCAAAGAGTGTGTGTGCAGGGTGAGTGGGGTCCTTCATGATGCAGGTAGCCCTCTTTCTGCATTTAGAGGTGTAAATGTCTGTGATCATGAGGAGACTGACTCCAACAGACTTCTGTGCAGCATTCACCACTCTCTGAAAAGCTTTTCTTTCTGCAGCTGTGCAGCCTCAATGCCACACGTTGATGCTGGAGCACAGGATGCTCTCCACTGCACACCTGTAGAAGGAAGTGAGGACTGAGCTTCCCCGACCAGCTCGTCTCAGCCGCCCGAAGAAGTAGAGTCTCTGATGAGCTTTCTTGATCAGGCTGGTGGTGTTGTTGCCCCAGCTGAGGTTGTCATTCAGGTGTACACCCAAGTACTTGTAGCTGGAGACCATGCACTTCCACCGCAGATCCTCTTATGTTCAGGGTGGTGTAGGTGTGTTTGTTCCTTCTGAAGTCCACAATCATCTCCTTTGTCTTCTTCACATTGATGTGAAGGTTATTCTCTTTGCACCAGCTCTTCAGGTGTTCCACCTCCTGCCTGTTGCTGAATTCATCATTGTTTGTGATGCATCCCACCACCGCTGTATCATCTGCAAACTTTACAATGTGACAGCCTGGATGGGTTCAATCATATGTGAGCAGAGTGAATAGGAGAGGGCTCAGCACACATCCCTGAGGGGAGCCAGTGCTGAGGGTTATGGTGGAGGAGGAGAAGTTGTGGATCCTCACTAACTGTGTTCTGTTTGTTAAGAAGTCTAGGACTCAGTTGCCAATGGAGGGGCTTAGTCCTAGTGTGAATAGTTTGTTCCTCAGGGTTTCGGGGATCATGGTGTTGAAGGCGGATGTGAAGTCCACAAAGAACATACGGACGTAAGAGTTTTTCTGCTCCAGGTGGGTGAGAGCAGTGTGAACCACAGAGGAAACGGCGTCCTCTGTTGTTCGGTTCTCACGGTATGCATATTGATGAGGGTCCTTGTTGATGTTGATGGCTGTTTTGATGTGGGTCATGACCAGTTTTTCAAAGCATTTAGCGACTATCGTGGTGAGGGCCACTGGCTGATAGTCATTCAGACCAGTCACTGTAAAGCTTTTTGGGACTGGGATGATGGTGGCAGTCTTCAGGCATGTGGGAACTGTTGCCAGGGTGAGTGTGGAGTTAAAGATGTCGGCCAACACCTCGCCTCAAAATAGAGTGAACAATACTGCAGTGACAATTGGGTAGCAGTTTAAAATCTATAATGTAAACTATTTTTTATTTAAAGGTGTACAAAACAACTTTTGGAAGTCACTGAGTGTCATGTTTGAGCAGATGCAGCTCAGACCAAAACAACAGGGCCAGGATTGAAAGCAAAAACTAACCATCAATGTTAAAAGACCTATTGATCCTTCCAGTGTGGTACAAACAGACATACTACTCCAGTCTTAGCCTTTTCTGTGGGAACTTTTTTATTCAGTAGATAAAAACAGAGACTTGTATGCACACACAGAGCTTCACTTAATGGTTATTTTAGGAACCATTACTACACCAGATACTTCTATAAAGCAAATGTTGCTTAGCTGCTTTATTAAAGTTTAAATACTGTTAAAATGTTTTAGTAAAATTACATAGTCGTTAAAAGTAGGCCTGTTGCGATAAACAATAAATCAATTAACTGCATGATAAATGAAAATGATCGACCTCATTTTCATTTATCAGCTTTATCGTTTCTTCGTGTCTCTCTCTTTCTACTGAAGACACTGGATGACAAAAGGATCAACTCTGGTGCTCTTCACTGACCCCTCCCTTTCTCTTTTCCCTTTAAAATCTGTTTTAATCATCCAAAATTGTGTTTTTGCATCGTTAAAAGCAGCTAAGCTGAGAAGCTAAGCTACGAGCTAAATTAACAGGCCGACCTCGGGAAAAAAACCTCTGTCTTGTCGAAGCTCCAAAATTCACGGTTGAAACCCGTGCCTTCGTGTAAAAAGTTGTTTTTCTCTGCAAAAAGAAGCTGAGAACTTGTTTACTGATTTTTAATTTAATTTTTTTTTTTATTAAAAGCTTAGTGTAAAAAAATGCTATGCTAAAGAGCTCAAACCACACCGAGCGTCCGCCATTTTGAGAACCGAAAAAAGGAAAAACATACAGCCCGTGTCATTTAAGGGGCCTCCTTCTCATTTTTCTTAAAGCGACACGCTGCTCCCTCTCTCACTATCCATCCTTCGGTTCAGTCTTATACTGCCATCCGGTGCTCAAATAAAGGTGTTACACTCAAAATAAATTAACCAACATTTCTTTTAAAATTTGACAATAATTACTAATTATTGTCAAATTTCAAACAATATTATCGTTTATCGCAATAATTTCTGAGACAATTGCCCAGCAAATTTTTTTATCGTGACAGACCTAGTTAAAAGTAATTTCCTTTTGGTCTTCATCATCAAACGGATCCACACAGACAACTAGACAAGACAATTTGGTGACAGTCATACTACACTTTATATTATTTTTAAAAGGATACTAAATGATCCAATTTTTTTTTTCCTTTTCCTTGTTAGCAGTTAGTCTTTCTGTAAATGTGATAGCATAAAGGGATATGACCTGAAATACTCTTCTGACATCCTTGCAATTATTTCAGGCTTTTGGAAAACAGCTTCTACTTC